AATTAACATATAATATTTTTTTTATGATTACATCTTAATTTGAATTTATATAATAAATATTAAATAATTTTTATAAAAAATTATATATTTAAGTTATTCATTAAAAACTTTTTAATAAGAAGTGTATTCGTATGAATATAGTGGAGTTGACTTTCTATAAGTAATTAGATCATAACAAATAACAATTGGTTCAACTATTCCCTACTATTTGTAAATACAAATTTGGAAATATATTTTAAAACAGTAATAAACTTATTAAAGTAAAAGATAATTTGAAAAATTATATGTAAAAAAATTTTAAAGATTAAAAAATCAAGGGATCATGTATAATTTCAAAAAATCTAAAAAAAAAAGTTAGATTTAATCTTAATTCCTAACTAGTAAAAATAAAATGATATAATCAATTATATCATCTGACAATGTTAGATGTTAACTTACTCTAATAATATAAATGAAATTAATTATAATATAATTTATATATTTAAAATATTTATTTGTCATAAATTTGAATTATATAAAAGTAAATATAGAACATTTAGATTAAAATATTAGTTATATAGAAAATACTAAATATTATTAAATACTTATTTTTAAAAGAATTTTAAATATTTAATAAATATTGCGTATTTACATACATTCTTCTAAGTACAGTATTTCTTTGTGTTATTCCGTATCAACTTAAACCCTAATTCATATGCGCATACAACAATTTTGAATGATAAACCGATCTACAAAATTTTCTTGAAGTTGGAAACTGTTTCACATTCACTTGGAGAAGGGAGAGACTGTTTGAGTTACCGGCTGTTACGCTTTGGTAGTTGGGAAGTACTTGGGCGGGTGAGTTTAGTAGTAAGAGAACGACGAGTGAGCATAACAAAATCACCTTCAAGTAACTAGTTCCGACAACATGCGACAGTAAATGGTTGTCATTCACATCTTGTGTTTCGTAAAAACACGCTTCCTTTAAATTGCTCTGCACCTTTTGGGGACCACCGCTTCATAACTTATGGGCCGGGTCCATAGGCCCAAACCCAACAAGTAATACTCATGGGTTTTTCTATTATCAAACTCTTTCTGAAAATCGCCTAACGTTTTATGCAGTGTGTATGTATGTTATAAATTTATTGAATTTATTTTCTAACTTTTTTTATTCATGGTCGATATTTTTTTTACTTTAAGGGGAGAAGACAAAACTAAAAAGATAAAGATTGTCTTTTCCGTAGTTATGTAATATTTTTTTGCTATGCTGCCTCTTGATTAAGGTACATTATAGTGAATTGTATATGAACGTGGGGTAATCTTTGATGCAGAATTCGAACATTCAATGGTTGACAGCTACTTTCGTCTTTTCTATTCTATCACAGTTTTTGCTTTTATAATCATTGTCTTGCACACAAATTTTAAAAATATAGTGTAATTTAAAGCATGAAAAGCATAAACTTGCCAGTGACTTGGGATGAAGAAGCTCAGGTTGTTATTTTGGTATCTTGCTCTTATTCATAAGGATACAAGTAGACGAATTCAGTAATACATAAATTTCATCTCACAGATTTGTTAACATTTGAAAATAGAGACCTGAATTAAACTTTTTAAATTATATGACCAAAAATCTTAATTTTAAATTTAAAAGAAAAAATTATCTCATATTTTTTAGGTAACAAAAATATATTTATATTTTAAAGTTTGTACCTGTAAATGTGTATATATTTTTATGTGGGAATTTTGGTGTTAGATTCAATTTTAATTTTTTAACGACTTGTATTAGATTACTTCCATCGATAAACAGAGCTTAATTTTAAAAACACATTATCATAAAATGCTTATAAATTCCAACATGCCTCTTTCATAATTAGAAAACTCAGGAATCTTTTCTTCCGTAGACTTTTTACCAAAAGTTGGTGTTTTTCTTTTATAATGGCATACGTACGCCAGTACATTTTCTTTTCTCAGCAGGAAA